CTCCCTTAGCCCTTTTTTGTCTGTGAAGCTTCTTATTTCCCCTTCAATTTTGAATGATAGCCTTGCTGGATAGAGTATTCTTGGATTCAGTCCTTTGCTTTGCATCACTTTGTAGATTTCCGTCCATTCTTTTCTGGCCTGATGTGTTTCTGTTGAGAAATCATTTGATAATCTAATGGGAGATCCCTCGTATGTTACTTTCCGTCTCTCTCTTGCAGCCTGTAAGATTCTCTCTTTATCCTGAACATTTGCCATGGTAATTATGATGTGTCTTGGTGTGGGTCTTTTCGGGTTCACCTTGTTTGGGACTCTCTGGGCTTGTGTGACTTTTTTCTTCCCCACCTCAGGGAAGTTTTCTGATATTATTTCTTCGAATAGGTTTTGTAATCCATGTTCATCTTTCTGTTGTTCTGGCACCCCTATTATTCGTATGTTGTTTCGTTTCATGTTGTCCCAAAGCTCCCTTAGGCTCTCCTCCTGTCTTTTAATTTTTTTCTCCATTTGCAGTACAGTTTGAGTGTGTTTTGCTTCCTTGTCTTCTAATTCACTAATTCGGTCCTCCGCTTCTCCCAGTCTACTGTTGATACTTTCAATGGTGTTTTTTATTGCAGCTATGTCGCTCTTCATTTCTTCTTGGGACTTACTTAAGTTGTTGATTTTTTCATCTGTTTCTTCTTGCTTCTTGAACATCCGGTGCATGTACTCTAGGAACCTTATTCTGAATTCTTTTTCCGTCATGTTGCATATCTCTGTCTCACTTAGCTGCTTTTCTGGCGAGTCCCACTTTTCTTTCCTTTGGGGGTTTCTTTGTCTACCCATGTTTGATCTCACTGACATGACTAGTTGTTGAGTCGTTCAGTGGCTGGACCCTGGGTGGCAGTGGCTGCTCCCTGGGTGGCAGTGGCTCCTCGGGCTGTGGTTGCTCCTTGGGCAGTTGTGGTAGCAGCGGCTCCTCTGTTGATAGCAGAGCCTCTGGTGGGTGCTGTTCACAGCTGTGGTGGCTCTTCTGGCTGGTGGAGGGAGGCTTCACACACAGCAACTGTTCCCCAGGCAGAGCGTGTGGTGATCAGGAGGCCGCTGTTGCTTGAATCTGCTGCGTTGATTTAAAGGCACAAAATACAACACAACAAGGCACAACGTACCAGGCACTGAACACTATTGTATTTACGATATTACTAACCCCAAATAAAGGTGGCCACCCGAGCTAAGAGAGTTAGGAGATAGGGGGGAAAGAAGAGAAAAAGGTAGAAGAGAAAAAAGAAAGAAAGAAAAAAGGAGTGCAAAAATGAAATTGGAAAAAGGGAGGGGAAAAAAGAGGAGGAAAAAAAAAGTAAGAGAGAAAAGAGAATGAAGTATAAAAGGGGAAGAGACTATTTATATGAGGAGAAAACTCCTATAGATCCGCCACTAATACCAACAAATTACAGCAACAGATTCCTGGAGATGAATACAAACTACAAACAACCAATAATATCAAGCGACGCAAGGGAAAACAGAAGCACAGAAATAACCGGGCGGGGGGGGGAGGGAGGGGCAGGAAAATAAAAAGAATAAGTAGTCTAACCTCACAAACAATCCTAAGAAAAAAAAAACCCCAATATACTCGTCAATCAAGCAAACAAAAATAAAACAATAGAGAGAGAAAAGAAGAAGAAGAAGAAATAAATAAATAAATAAATAAATAAAATAAAATAAAAAAAATAAAAAATAAAAAATTGGATAGTGAAGGAAGATAAGGGAAAGGTGTATAAGGATTTAGAACAGTGGATTGGACGTAGGATATATAAGTAGGGTGAAATTTTGACGGGGTAAAAAGAATAGGGAAAATCTAAAGCTGGAGTAGGGTAAGAGAAACAGGACAGCAAAAGGGAAAAAGTGGGGAAGATTGTTTAGCACAGAGGCAAATTGAGGTAGAGAAAAATGTTGCTAAAGGAACGATGAAAATAGAATGGAGAACATTAGTCCCAAAATAAAATAAAGACAAAATAAAATGACACTTTAAAAAATGGTAAAATGGTAGCGGCAATAATACTAGTTAAAAATAAAAATGTAGTAGCTGAAAGGGCAAAATCAGGTGATGGAGAAAAAGAAAAAAGAAAAAAAGAAAAAAATGTTTTCTTAGTTAAAAGGTGAAAAAGTAATTTAAAAAAAATAAAAATAAAAATGTGCAGTAATGCAGGTGCTTCAGATCTTCTACTCTTCTTATTGGCACGCCCGGAATTCAGGAGAATGTTGAATTTCCCTCTGATACACTGTTCCTCCGTGTTGTAAGCCACAGTCCTGATTTTAAGGCCGGCCGTAAAATCCCCTTATTGCCTTATCTGTATTTACAGAAGAGTCAGTTCGTGGCTCTGCCTCTGGGTGGCAGTGTGTCTGGATTGACCTCCGAGGCTATAAGTTCTCTCTGACCAGGAGCTCTCTATTGTACCTGAACCAGCTCCGCCCAGAGCTGGTTCCCCAAGCGCCACTCCCAGGTCTGTTTCCCAAGCTCCCCAAAAACAATCTTCCCCTACAAGCTCTGCTAGTGACCCCAACTGGGCAATCACATGCACTGGTGTCAACAATCAAACTCACAGAAGTAAGAGTAAGTGTGTAAACAAGAGCCTGGGAAGCTGTGCGAACTCGCAAGGTTGCACCCTCCAGAACTGCTCGGAGTCTCTGCGCGCGCTCAAGCCCCTGGCGCCAAGTAGCCGGCTATCAGGGAAACTCTGAGGCAGCCCTTTTGCATCCAGTCCAACTATGGGCTTATTTATAGTGTTACCTTCTGCCAGCAGCCCTGCGGGAGCCCTCCCCACTTGCGGGTCACGCTGGCCTCTATGGGCGCGGATTTTGGGGGGCGCAGATTTCCCCCTGCGCCCGCGCGCGCGCGCATTCCTCGCTCCAACCTGAATTGCAAACCGCACCTTTGGGGTAAGTCTAACCTTTCCGTGGAGGGATGCAGGTCTCCTCTGGGCTCTTGCAGTCGCGCTGCTTTAGAGTCGTTGCCTCCGGGTTAGTAGCCGATCTCTGGATGCGGAAACAGCTACTCAAGACGGCGCGGTCTCGCCGCTGCGCTGGCGCCCAGGGGGAGGTTTCAGCCTCAATCTCTAACCATCCCCATTTTTTAGGAGTTCTCTGTCTTTCCTGGCTGCAGACTGTCTCTCAGCTGAGCCTCCTTAGCTTGATCGGGCTGATTGTTACCCGTTTCAGCTGCTCGCCCTTATCTTCTCCGGGACAAAGCACCAACACGTCCGTCTAAGCCTCTGCCATTTTTTTTTTTCACCAGGTATACATATTTATGGAGTATGCCTACTCCGGCACTTTATACCAACACCTAAAGAGGTGGGGTCCTTTATCGGAGGAGGCAGCACGAGCCCCATTCCAGCAGCTGCTGTCGGCTGTGCACTATTGTCACCAGAAACATATCGTCCACCGGGACATAAAACCGGAAAACATCCTGCTGGACATGGGATTGAACATAAAGCTGGCTGACTTCGGGCTTAGTGGTGTGTTTAAGGATGAAAAACTCACCACGTTCTGTGGCACTCCCAACTATAAGGCCCCAGAATTGTTCAAGCTAGAAGCTTATGAAGGCCCGAAGGTGGACGTGTGGAGTATGGGGGTCGTGCTCTATAACATGCTGACTGGACTACGTCCATTTGTGGGCAAAACCTTAGAACAACTCAGGGAGCACATCTTGAGCGGGGACTTTTCTATTCCGTCTTTTCTATCTGTACCGTGCCACACACTGTTGAGGACCATGATCGACATCGACCCCGGCCGAAGACCCACCCTCGGAGTAATAATGAAAGACGTTTGGGTGAATACGGGGGAGGCAGAGGAAATGACACCCTACATCGAACCATCCTGTACTCACTTAGACCCCCAGGTAACTCAAATAATGAGGACACTGGGGTATGAACAGGAGGAAATAGAATCATCCCTGATGGGAAGAAAATTTAATAACATCATGGGCACTTACCGCATCTTAAATATGAAACTTACCATCGGTGGCCGAACAATAAAAGTAAGTCCCATATCCTCTGACTCCAACAGAACATCCGTACAACCCAGGGGACTTGGGGATCCTGGAAGAAAAGCAGAGAACCTCAGAATCCCCCACCGAGCCCAGAGTTCAGTGTGTCCACCACCACACCACCAGGGGCCCTGGATTGGAGTATTGCCACCCCTCCCATTAGAGTGGAGGTGAAGAGGATCGTCGTCCAGAAAGGCAGTGAGCACTTGGAGAACATCAGCCAGGCTGGCCATGTGCACTTGGAGAACATCAGCCAGCCTGCCAGTGCGCACTTGGAAAACATCAGCCAGCCTGCCAGCGCGCACTTGGAGAACATCAGCCAGGCTGGCAGTGCGCGCTTGGAGAACATCAGCCAGCCTGCCAGCGCGCACTTGGAGAACATCAGCCAGGCTGGCAGTGCGCGCTTGGAGAACATCAGCCAGCCTGCCAGCGCGCACTTGGAGAACATCAGCCAGCCTGCCAGCGCGCACTTGGAGAACATCAGCCAGCCTGCCAGCGCGCACTTGGAGAACATCAGCCAGGCTGCCAGTGCGCACTTGGAGAACATCAGCCAGCCTGCCAGTGCGCACTTGGAGAACATCAGCCAGGCTGCCAGTGCGCACTTGGAGAACATCAGCCAGCCTGTCAGTGCGCACTTGCAGAAGACCAGCCAGGGTAGCAGTGCACACTTGGAAAAGAAGAGTCAGCCTGGCAGCGAACACTTGGAGAGTACTAGCCAGCTAGACACCAGGGACTTAAGGAATGAGAAACTGAGGCCAGCTCTCCAAGGTGACAATGTTTCCCCTGTCACCCAGAGCAGCAGCAGCCCCAGAAGCTGTAGTGGAGGCACAGAGGTGAGAACCACTACCAACGGCCAAGCTGGGCCATCTTGTGAGGACAACCTGCAGTCTTCATCGCATCATACCCAGCGCCGAAAAGGGATGGCAAGAAGGGTTTTAGGATTTTTTAAAAGATTGCTGTGTTGCACTGGAGAAAATAAAAAACCCCGCGTGAAATGACACGGGTGGTACCGAAATAATGTTCCAGCGTGGAGTGTCGGTGGCCACACTTCACCCAGCCACCATGAGGACAAGAGAGTTCACTTGGCCAGAGAGTAAGGAGAAGACAGGGAACTCATCAAAACATTGAGCGGGACAGTTCACCACCGCTCACTCGGCCAGATGCACGGAGAGGTCAGTTAACCGCAGCTCACTCAGTCAAACGCAAAGCAACCTCAGGACTTGATTTCTGGATAAGAAAAGAATTCAGAGCCAAGACCCAAACTCGCTAGAGAAAATTTATTTGAGCAAACAAAGAGTAAGTACACTCGAAGAGAAATTTCAAGCTGGGGGTGGGGGGTGGATGAGGTGGGGAGAGAGGGAGAAGGGGCTAGGATTCCTTTTTAAACCTGGGAGGGGAATTAACTGCTTTCTTCTTCAAACTGACCTATCAGGGGCTGTTCTGTTTCTGTTCCTGCATAGAAGTTAGCCTCCAGCCCTCTCCCCCCGCCCCCTTGTTCTCTACAGGTGGGGGTCTACCACATCTACCACATGACAACCACACGCTGGAGGAGAAAAGGTCAGGAGAATCCCACCTGCATAACCGGAGCATTCTAGGGGGGAGAGAAATCCCAAGGCAAGGTTTTGAAGTGGATATTTCCAATATCTGCTCTACCAGTTCCTTTTCATCACTAGGTGTCCAGGGGGTTCTGCCCTGGTGACCTTCTGTAGCTGGCCCGTCGTCCTTGCTCTGCTCATGTCTGTCTAACTGCCTACAACTGAGGCTTAGGTGACAACCAGACATCATGCTGCCGGGAGTGACAGAGAGAGGACTGGATCTCTAGGCTGTGATTCCTTTTTGGTGTGCTGGGATATTTTTAATCTCTCCTCCCTCTCCCCACCACCTGCAACTCCTAGGTGACGAGAGAATTTAGGTACATTTCATTTTGGTATTTGGGATGTGGGAAGAGCGGACAATGGATGTATTTTGGCACTTCACAATTGTCCAGAAGAATGGTTAAAGAAATCCCTTTTCTCATCTCCCCCCGCAATGCACTTTGTGAGTGTTCCATTTAAGAAAAGAAGTGCAATTACATGGGAAGGATTAGCACAAACCCCTTGCTATTATTTAACCTGAAAGAACGATGAGCCTCGGGCAAGTCCTGGGGTAGGATTAAGTGCTGTGTTACACTGAGCCTGCTTTGACTCAAAGCTCAAAGTCTGTTGTCAAGGATTTGGCTGTGCGTGTGCCTACTATTGGTATCTGCCTATTCAGGTCTTGGAGTACAGCTGGGTAAAGGTGACAGCTGACCAGATTAGGCAGCTGACTTCAGAAGGTCACAGAGGTCAGTGATCCAGCAGGGTGGGGATGTCAGCGCTGAAGTAGTTGACGCATTCTCGTCACCTAGCATGGGGAGATGGTATAAGCCCTTCTCGCCAAGTGTCATTGGGATTTATTTCTGAAAGCACCTAGCTCCATGTACATGGTAGGTGGACAATCAGTGTTGGTTGAACTTGCATATGGGAGCCAGAATGTGTATCTGGGGGGTAAAAGTCAATAGACTCCTTGCTCAGGAGTGAGCCGAAGTTCTGAGAATCAGGAAACCTACAAGTGTGCACAAGGAACTGAGTCTCAAGGGTCAGAGCAGGCAAAGTCCCTGGAATGGGGCCCCTGTGACAGAGATGCAGATGTGGGCATGAGCTTTGGGCAGGGTCTATTTGTCCCTTGATTGTTTCCCTGCTTTCTGGTGGATTTTGGTGGCCTTGGCCATCAAGTGGATTCAGGCCATTGCAACCAAGTGACCCTTATCTGTATTTGTACTCAAAGAGACAGTTATCTGTATTTATGCTCATCTCACAGGGGACATTGTGGCAGAACAGCTGGGAGGGCTGGATTTGAAGCCCTGCAGACATGCCCTTGAACCCTGATTGTGGTGATTTGGCCCAGTACATCAATTGACTTGAATCTCTACTTCTTTACCTATAGAATGGGAATGTTAATAGTTAGCCCACAGTATTGAAATAAGAAAATGCATGTACAACACTTAGCATACAGCTTTACATGAATTAAACCATCAATAAATGGTAGCAAGTGATATTACAGAAATGCTCTCACACGAATTGGTGGGATGGGGAAGAACTGTTATTGTGCAGTGCTTTGGAGTGTCATCTCTAGAGTCAGATACTTGGGTTGAAATCTTAGTTGCGTCACTCACCAGCTGTGTGACCATGAGCAAGTTGCTTAGTCTCTCCGTGCCTCTCTATTTTCACTTGTAGAATTGAGGCAGTAATTGTACTGACTTTCTAGGATTGTTGTGAAGATTAATTTATAATTAAAAACAAAACAAAACTAAAAGCTTGACCATAGTTGCTTGCACACAGCAAGCACTCAGAAGGGATAAGCTCTGTCATTAATGGCTAATTATTACCAATAATGATGGAGAAATTAAAGAGGAGCATGAAAATAGAATGTCATGCTGTGTGGTGTGGTAAGGTTTTCACCGCTGGAAGTATTCAGCTGGAAAGTAGCTTAGTGGGCTGTGGTTTTGGGGATTCGGGTGCTGGGAGGATGAAGATCTTAGGCAACCACTATTCTCCTTCCTACATTAAACAGGAAGCACGGTATGATGGCTGCTTATGTTCAAATCCTGACACTGTCACTAGCTGTGTGACCCTGGGCAAGTTAGTTTACTTCTCTGTGCCTCAGGTAGACCACTCTCCTGCAAAATGGGGTGATTATTACAGTTCCTATCTCATATGGTTGTTATGAAGATTAAAAGGCTTCATACTCAAAGAGTGCTTAGAATGGTACTTAATTCCAAACCTGAGAATCTTTCTCTCCAACCTCTATTCCTTTTTTTCTGCTTTCCTTTTATCCTTTTTCTCTCTTTCTTCCTCTCAAAATAGGAGCCACTGTGGGTCCCAGTGGCTTTGGAACTTTCTTTAAGCCCTGCCCCTCAAACTGTGTCATGACGGGAGGGGTGACTTTGCATTGTAAGTTGTTTGTTCTGGGACCTGCTCTTCAGTCTGTGGAGAACATATTTCAGCTACAATCTGTCAGCCTGGGAATGAGCGTTTGCTAATGAGGCTCCCGACAGACACGTTACATTTACGGGGATGACAAACGCCACTACTTGGCTGTGCTTGACTCATTTCAAAGGCCAGTGGGCTCATCACAGTCATCAGTACTTGCTACACCGAGGTTCATTTTGTCTGAGGCCTGGGTGCAACTTGGATTTGTGTTAATTGTATCATTTGATATTCCTGCAAAAAGAAGAATCTTTTAAACATCTTTTTACCCATCTCTGAACTTGCCTGTTTTGTAATGACTAACTTTTGCAGATCATAGTTAGATGTCATTTGCTGCTGTTAGAACTGGGATATTATTTTAGGATGTTTGCCAAACTCCCTTAGCCTTTGCATGTCCTTGAGGCCGAGGCTGAAACATGCACATGGACACGGCACCCAGCAGGTGATGGAGATAAGGGAGGGGCTGGGTGGCTGCCAGTGAGCTGGAGGCACCTGCTCTTTCTCAGAGACCAGCTGCTCCTCCCCACCAGCCAGCTGTGGCCATGGGAGGGCCATGGGAGGGCGCTGGCCATCTCTGCTGGAACCTCCTGTTTTTTTCAAAAGAAGGAGGAGACTTGCTTTTATGTGACATTCCTGTATTTGTAGATGTTTTTTGGAGATCTGGTTGAAGCCCAGGGGCTTCCCGACTTGATTTGTATCTTTGTATCTAAGGTCCAAAGCAGTTTGAGTTAAAAACCTAGTTAAAAACAAACACACACACACACACACACACACACAAATACCAGCAATAGACTTGTGAGAATAGATGAGAGACCTGTTTCTTTGTTTTCTCTTTGCAGACTGGTATAGGGGATACCTCCTAAAGCACAAAATGTTACAGGCACAAAATGTTACAGGTAAGATGAATTTGTTCTGATTTGGGACAATACTGGGTATCTTTACCTGCCATTCCTTAGCAAACAGGTTCCACCCCTCCCTCCTTGTGTCCTGTGCTTTCCCACCTCTACAACTTGGTACTCAGGAGCCTCAACTTCCCCTTTCACTCATTCTTCAAGGCCAACCTGCAGACCCTCTCCTCCCTGAAACTTTTCCCAATATGCCAGTCATATCTGATTTCTCCCTTCCTTGATCCCCATGGTACTGTGCATTTTTTATTTGAAATTGATCTACTGCTTTCCTGTAGAGTGCTTCGGGCATTCATAATTTCCTCACCTCTGTATCGCCATGACAGAGAAGAGACAGGGCTGGCGAGTTTCCTTGTTCCAGCCTCACATTACACCGTATTCGTCTCCACGAGAGCGGGTGCCTGCTTTGCTCCTCTACACACCTCTCACAGTGTCTAGTGCAGTGGCAGATGCCCCTACTGTGCCTATTGGTTGAATTTAGGAAGGAATTTCCGAGTAATTGACAAACTGTTATTATTAATTGAGCCAAGCTTTTGGAGGAAGGAAATAACAATAGATGCTTCTTCCTTCCTCCCTGACAGTGGTGTGTTGGGAGGCATGAGCCTACTTTGCTCTCTAAAGAGCAATCAAATAAAACCAGGGAGAAAAGGACCTCAAATCAAACGAGTCCACTTGCAGCCAGGGAGACGCTTGCTCAGGACCTGACCTTCCAACTGCTCATGACTGTGCAGGGGGACTGGGCACAGAGGGGCCAGGCAGAGTGTCTTGTCTCTCTTAGAGTGAGTCCTTCAAGCACCCCTCTCTTGCCCATGTGATAACGTTGAGCGTCCATGTGTCACCTGGGGCTGGAGCATCCTTTGAAATCTAGCGCTACTGTGGGATCTAGAAGAACTGACGGAGAACTGGAGGAGACCTGGACCTAAATGGGTGGATTTAGAATCCAGCCCTTGCTCTGTGGATGCTGGGGTTATTCCTTTAAAGTTTGAGAGTTTTTCCAGTAGTGGCTTTTGTAAAAGCCATGAGGTCCTGGGCTCAGTTATTTCTGTGGGAATGTGTCATTCTATTGTACTTGATGTTTCGTTATGTATATTAAGCTATGTTATCTTATTTCCAACAGGGCATTTTTCCTAAGTCCTTTATCCACATCAAGGAAGTGACCATTGAAAAAAGAAGGTACTTGCCATTCTTCACTAGGCTTGGCTTCGGTGGCTTATGGGGTGTCTCTGTCCTGTCTTCTTTGAAAGCATGACTTGGTGGATGTGATCGGTCTTTTTCGTGCCTGTGTTTATTTGTGTGGCTCCTTTCCCTCATCTAATCCAAATTGATTCCTGCTCAGGTCTGATTCTGAGTGGGCATCAGTAAGTTTGAGAATCAGACTTTTCATTGGCAACTGCCTTTGGACTGTACTAACTAAATTAACCGTGAATAATGAGCTTGAAGGGCCCACCCCAGTGAAGGAGGACATTAAAAGAGAAGCCTCTTGCATTTGCATAATGTAATTGGTGTGGCTGTTGGAGGGGACAGCAAATTCACAGCAAGGACCCTCTCAGCAACTGCAGCTTCATGCAAATTGGCCAGCATTTTGTCTTGTTAGCACCTGGGTCCCAATTTTACACCGCTTTCTCTCCTGCCTTAAATAGAAATATTGAGAACATCATTCCTGCAGAAATTCCTCTGGCACAAGAAGTGACAACGACGCTTTGGGAATGGGGCAGCATCTGGAAACAGCTCTACGTGGTGAGACTCCAAGCCCCGTCCCCAGGGATGGGCGCTCCTTGCAGTCTTTGTTTGGTTGAAATGTGGAATTTAGCCTTGAACAGGGCAAGGGGGCTTTACTGATATAGTAGGACACAGTGTACGAGGACATCAAGGCCCAGAGGGGTTCGGTGACTTTCTCAAGGCCACACAGCCAGTTAGTGATGGAGTCATAATAAATGGGGGTCTGGCGTGATCCTTTTATAAACGAATGCAAACATTTTCAAACTTGAGTGTCTTAAAGAATCACCTTGAGAGCTCTTACGATCTAAAGCTTACTTCAATGGGGCTCTGCCTTTTTGATGTAATAAACTCAGGGGATTTTGATTTCCTGGTCTGCTTACAACACATGGCTGCTGTCCTCAGATCTATGAGGAAACTCTGACCCTGGAAAAACAAAGAGCGCATTTTGCATCTGTTTTCCCTGTACTGAATCGAATCTAATTTGAAGTCCTCCTTTGATGTTTCTGAAGTTCTAATGAAAGCAATTAGCTAAGAAAACCATTAAGCTGCGAGTGAAAATGTCAACCACGGCTCCACGCATATTTGTTACAGCACCTGCACAGCTGCTGCCGTACACACATGGTTTGCAGACTTACTTTTACAGTCATAAATGTTGACTCCCACATGGATATTTCATAATTTATGGTCATCGATACCTCCAGTTCCGTAAGTTCCCCGACAGTTGTTAGGAAAGTTTGGGGGACCGACAGTAGACTTGAGGCTCACGTGGATCATTATTCATCTCCACTACCCTTTTGAAAACATCTCATACACATGCACCAGGGATGCTTCGTGTTTCCCCTGGAGAAATCCTTGACAGCAAGTCCATCGTGCCCTTGACCCTAGTAAACAGCTCCTTAAACTTCCAATATTCCAGTATCGCCTTCGTGAGTCTTGCCTTATTTCCACACCATCTATGTAACGTGTACTTAATACCTAAACTGGCTCCCTTTTTAGTAAACTGAAATGATTCGCATAAGGAACTGTATAGCAAGCTATTTCATTCTAGCATTTTCTGATTCTCCGACACCAATTGGATGCCCTACGATTCAATTCAATGTAACACTGACTACCCAGAGTTAGTGTCAGACGCCATAGATTTAAGGGCTCAACCCTGCAAGATTTGTCACTTCAGATGCCAGTCACAAGTCCTGCGTCCCCATTCGGGGTTTCTCATGATTCCTCCCCAACCCCACCTCGGGCTCTGCTCAGAGAGCTCTGGAAAGAGCTGTATTCATGGTTACTGTTTTATTAGAAAGGATACAAGGCAGGAACAGCCACAGCCACATGGAAGAGATGCCCAGGAAAGGCACTGGGGTGGGAGTGGGCACAGAGTTGCTACGCCTTCCCCCGGTGTGCCCCCATCCCTATATTGAAGCAAATCTAATTTGTTCACCATCTGGGGAGTTCCTTGAACCCTGTTATGGAGGGTTTTGATCAAAGTCTCATTACATAGTCATGATGGATTATATCATTGACCATTAGTGATTGAGCTCAGTTTCTAGCCCCTCTCAGCTCCCTGGAGGTTGGGAGTGGGGAGGTGAGAGGGAAGCTTAAAATTCCAACTCTCTAACCACATGGCTGGTTCCTATGGCATCCAGCCCCCATCCAGAGGTTATCTAGGGGCACTACCAAGTGTCATGTCATTAGCCAAAACTCAGGCTTGGTTGAAAGGAGCTCATTATGAATTAGAAAAGACACTCCTATCTATTACCCAGGGAATGCTAAGTAACTTATGAGCTGTGCCAAGACCTGGGACAAAGACCAAAACTCTATTTCATTATACCACACATGCTTTCCCAAATGGAAAGCTAAAAGTACTTGGCACCATTAGAACATCATTCAAATAAATAACATTGAAAACAATGTTATTAAATGCTTGCTTTAGTACCTGCCAAAAGCTTTGAGCCACAGACCTTCCCTCTCTCTTTGTTAAAAAAACAGAAATTAACCATTGTGAGAGAGAGGTTAGAGACGTATTACATGAAGCTGCAACTTTCTCCTTCGCTTGAACAGGGCAGGAGGAGAATCACCGTAGAGGCCCATAATATTTGGCGTGGTGTCTTTGTTCCATTAAAAGCCATATTGTATCCCACAGGTTGTATGCATGTCACACTTGGGGAAACACTGTCCTAGAAATGGGCCTTTATCACCAGAGAAATGGCCCTAGTTCCCAGCCTTCAAGGGGCCCGAGCTCTAGGGCTGGGGAAAGTTTCTCATCTTCTCTTCTTGGTTCTTTGGGTGGCCTACTAATTAAATTTATATAAGACAGCTTAATAGGAGAGAAAAAAACAAATTTCATGTCATACTTATGGGAGACCCAAAGGTTTGAGACTCAAAAGGCAGCCAGGTGACGGAGGCTTCCAGAACATCCTGAGCTCAGGACAGGGGAGGGGTCTGGGAATACAAAGTGGAGGAAGGTCATTCACAGGAAGGCAGAGGAGAGCTTTGGAAAACAAAGGTTGCCCTGTTCTGCAGATAAGTTGCTTAGGTACAAAGGTACGTATGGTGAGAGGTCTCTTCCTGGTACAGGCCCTCCTTCCAGTGTAAATTTAGGCTGTTGAGGGGGTGGTAAAGAGCGTTTCCTGAATCTGTTGGCTTTTGATTGCCTTTAGCTTGAAATAGTCCTCATGTCAAAGAGACATATTTTGGGGTAGCAAAATCTGCTCCCCTTCACAGCAGCTGCTCATGGTGTTCCTGCCCAAGCATCTTTTGGGATAAGTCAGAAATCATCCTTTCTTTAATTGAGAAGTGATTTGGGATTATTACCTTTGCTTTTGGGAAACCCTCGTGGCCAGGGGACAGAGGGGGTATATGTCAGTGACTAAGACCACCACCCAATCCTTTTGTAGCTGGGAAAGGGTACCTCCTGCACAGGTGACTGGGATTGTTTCCTGTCTCCTAGGCCAGCAAAAAGGAGCGCTTCCTCCAGGTGCAGGCCATGATGTACGACCTGATGGAGTGGCGGTCCCAGCTCCTCTCAGGAACGCTGCCCAAGGACGAGCTGAAGGAACTGAAGCAGAAAGTCACGTCCAAAATCGACTACGGCAACAAGTAAAAGCTCTTCCCTCTGAAAAGATGCTTTCTCCCCCTACCCACCCGCTTCTTCCCTCCCTCCCTCCCCAGAAGCTTGGTTTCATTTTTAGATACCAGTTGGCCACTTTCTATTTGGGAAGAGGCTGTTACCAAGGTTGTGCTTGTGTGCCTTTGTCATCACCCCCCTGGGACCCAGCACAGGCAAGCGGAGAGCAGGCTTGCTTATGCAGTAGTTATTACCCAGCTGAGAGATTTAGGACACTCATTTAACCTACTTCCGAGGGGCTGGGGAGCGCAGTCATGCTGGCTCACTTTTGGCTTAGTTGTCATTTTATTCCTGCATTTACAAAACTGGTCCTTAAATCCCAGTGTGAGATTTAACGTCCTTCCCCATCCTAAATTATCTAAGCCCCATACTGTCAGCTAACTCATGCACAGTTACAAAAGCATTTCCTCCAAAGGGAATAGCAGAGATTGATTGGAGTTTGAATGTTGTGAAGTTAAGGAGGACATGAAACAATTTTTTGAGGCAGGGAAACCTACTGGTAATAATAATAGTGGTAATAATATTTTAACTAACATTTAATCTGGGCTTATTATGCACCAGGCATGCTAAGTGCTCTGCATGCACTGTCTCATTTAATTCTTATAACAACTCTATGGGGTATGCAATTGTAGTGTCCTCATTTTTTTCAGATGAAGAAACTGAGGCTCTTAAAGAGGTTAAATCATTGATTTGCAGTCACACATGTAGTAAGTGGAAGAACCAGCATTTAGTTCCAGGCTGCCTGGCTCCAGAGTCCATGGGCCTCACCACTATGTGACTTGGAGAGCATTTGAGAGCTGTAAAGGCCTCCCTCCCCTCCAAATGCCTTACTCATTTGTTTATTCATCCTAACAACAAATGAGTGTTGAGCACTTATGATTGGACGGATTTCCTGCTACGTGTGGAGGCCATAGAAATGAAAGTTTCTGTCCACTACAGGACCACAGCCTAATTAGGACTGAACTCCAGGGAAACTATTGATATGTATTGTTGTCAGTTTGATGGCTTAGGAAAAAGATGTTCTTAAGTTGATTGCAGAAGGGAGTCAAGGAAGGCTTCTGGTGGAGGTGACTCCAAGCTGAATTTTGAAAGTTAAAAGAAGTGGGTCAGAGTGCCCACTTCTTTAAATACCCAGACTGCAAAGTGGGCCACAAGTCTGGAACTTCCCTGAGGAGGAAGTAGAAAGAGCTGATGCAATGAGAATAAGACCATTTCCTAGCAGCCAGGCTTTCTTGCTTTTGTCATATGCACTTGGGAGGAGATCCAAAGAGGAAAGCCAATGGGTCCAACTTACAGCTGCTGTCCATCCCAGGAGCCCAGGCCTTCTGCCGGTGCCTTGGCTGGCAGCTGCCAAGCGTGTCCAAATCTGCTTATAATGCACAGGGCCCCAGAGTGACAGGACGACAGGTTTGCCGCGCAACTGCCGCCGCCATTGGTGCGGTGGCATCTGAGCACAGCCACAGCTGGGAGTGTGGGAATTGAGGGAGTTTTGCTGCTTTACAGCCATGGCATCTGTGACCTTCAGTTGTTGTGTCCTCCTGGAGGCTCTTGAGAAAAAGGACCAAGGGTGGAAGGAGTGGTCCGGCTCATGGGAAGCCTTTCCTGGGTTAGGGGCTCTTGCAGACCAGGGGCCTCCTGCACAGTAGTTGCCTCCCTTCTGGCCTGTCTCTCCCGCTGTGCTGGAAGCTCCTCCAAGACAGCAACTGTCTAACTCATGGCTGTGTGCCAGGGACAGGGTCTGCACACAGTAGGTGCTCAGTGAGTCTTCACTGAAGGAACGCATGAGTGATGGTAATGGAAGAAAGAGGAGAGAACAGGCCCTCCCTCCATCAGCCTCCCCTCTGCGGCATGGCCCACCCAGCCCTGTGCTTTTAGTTTCATGCAGTTCCCTTTGGGGAAGTGAGAGATACCCTCAGAGACTGAGGCCCTGGGCTGAGGGGCCCCTTGCTTCTCGCCTCCCTTCCCCGATGACTTCAGCTGAAAGTGAGAGAGAATTGTGCACCTTGGATTAATACCGACTCAGAGCTCTGATCTGGGGTGCAGCAAGTGGTCTCCTGAGAGTCAGAAGGCTGGACCTCTGGCTAGAGTGTGGCTGTGAGGTCAGGGAAGCATGACCAGGTGCTAAGTGCTCACAGAGTGATCAAAATCAGCCCATTTCCTCCCCAACTCACTCCATTCCTGCATTGAGACAATTTTGTTGAGCACCAGAGTGGCCCCAAGGACATTTATAAAATGCATCCTTTATACATACAGTGGGGCCTTGACTTACAAGTTTAATTTGTTCCGTGATGGAGCTCGTAACTCAAATTACTCGTATGTCAAATCATAAAGTGAACGAGTGAGACACGTGATGCTGGGCTGATGTTGTGGCATTCACTGTGACATTCGCTGCGCCAACTAGTGGTGGGGTATCTGAAGCTGGCTCGTAACTCGAATTTTAGCTCGCAACTCAAAGCAAAAAATCGGCCGAGAGATGGCTCATATCTCGAAAAACTCGTTAGTCGGGACACTTGTAAGTCAAGGCCCCACTGTATTTCACAACAACAAAAAGCCAGCAAGGAGGACTATTGATGACCTACTGAGCGCTTGCTATCTGACAGGTACTGTTTTAAGCACTTTCCATGTATTAACTCATTTAAGTGTCAGGACAGGTCCCCATTTCTCAGATGATTAGGTCATTTGCCCAAAGTGCACTGGCATTTGAACCAGGATGCTTGATTCCAGAGTTCAGTGCTTAACCACTGCATTCTACTGCCTCCCAAGGACCATGTGGATTGGAGAGAGAAAGAGAGAGAGAGAGAGAGAGAGAGAGAGAGAGAGAGAGAGAGAGAAGAGAGAAGAGAGAGAAGAGAAACAGACATCTGAGTAGGAAGTCATGCATTGCTTGAGAGGAGGAAGCATGAGAGGCAGGGCAGGGTGTGATAGCTCTGAATCTAACAAGACTAGTAGGAATTATTCAGTGAAGAATTGCAGAAGACAGGGAGAGAGAGAGAGAGAGAGAGAGAGAGAGAGAGAGAGAGAGAGAGAAAGAATATGAATGAATGCAAGGAGAGCTGTGAGATGAATGAATGCAAGGAGAACTGTGAGATGAACATGAACAGGGAGAGGAAGGCAGATGGACCAGAACCTTGATGGCCTGAGGGCAATGGGAAACCACAGAAGGAGCCATTTCTGTTTTCTTTATCTTAATTTTTTTTTTTTAGAAAAATGCATACAGTGGGGGCTTCTTCCCTCACCTTCATCTTGGGTTCACTTTCTTGAACAGAAGAGAGCACTGGGGCCACCTCCTAACAGAAAATGTCAAAATGGTCAGTTCTCCAAAACAAATCGTCTGCTGTCCTGTGAGGGGCAGCCCTTCTGATCCTGAGTCGTGGGAATCTCAGCAGTCCCGCGCCTCGACTACTAAAGCTCCCAGCTTCAAGTGAGACTGGCAATGGATTGGCTCTCTGTGTCCAAAGAGTGAGGGAGGAATCCTCAAATGACCCCTCCGACACCCAGGGTAGCTGCACCTGGAAGAATGTTTTATTCATACATTTTAGAACTGAATCCACTTTGATAAATTTTGAAGAGAAAGAGCTAGAGAGATCTTGGCATTAAATTATGTATGGGCGAGGCTCCATCTTTTCCGAGGCCATGTGAGCCTCTGCTCGGCATTAGCTGAATGCATTTGTTCCCCCTGAGCACGGCCCGTTCTGCACCGTGGCTGCCCAATATTATGAGTCATATCTAGTGGGAAGTTAATTTCCTAATGAATGTGGACAAACGGGTGAACCTTGGCTCCCTTCTGTTTGCATTTGGATGAGATGAGAGACGTGCCTCTCAATCCGATTCTCAAATAATAGATGAAAGTTTAGTCTCCTTCATTTGTCTTTGCTCTCCTTCCCCAATCTGGTACCCAGTAGTGGTGCCTAAGCAGGACCACTATTGGCCTTCTCAGAATCTCTATCAGCCCACTTCCCCTAGGGACAACTGAGGTCCTCCATCTCATCATCAAGTGCAAAAGCAGCTTCAAATTAGGCCTCTGCAAACCTACTCCGGGTTCCCCAATCCAATACTGCTCTTAAACAACTATAACATATACCATAGAGGTCAAGAGTGCAGACTAGGATGTAGTATTCCTTTTTACTAGCTGTGTGATGTTGAGCACATTAATTAGCCTCCATATCCTTGGTCTTTCTTCACCAGTAAAATGGGGGTATTAATAGTATCTCCCTCAAGGGTTGTTGTAAAGGTTTAATGCATTAATACACATAGAACATTTAACAGATGTGAGTTCATTGCAAGTGCTGTGTGAGTCTTTGCTGTTATTAGTTGCCATTGATGCCAAACAGAATGGCAGATGAACTTAAAACAAATCAATAATAAAGTAGAAAGTGTGTGACCTGGAAATCAGAGAGCTAAAGAGAGATTTGCCCCCAACAACTATGTTCAAATAGTTATTAAATAAATAATATGTGAATACCTTTTCTGCATTTATATTATATATAAATACTAGAGGTCCGGTGCACGAGATTCGTTTACTCAGGGTGGAGTGGGTGGGGTCCTTCAGCCTGGCCTGCCCCCAGGGGATGTCTAACTGATGGCTTATGCCTGCTTAGGCCTGCTTCTTGTGGGGAGCAGGCCTAAGACAGCAGTTGGACATCCTTAGTGCAATTGCGGAGGCAGGAGAGGCTCCTGCCACCACAGCTGGGCTCACCAGCCATGAGCTGGACTTCTGGCTGAGTGGTGCTCCCCCTGTGAGAGTGTACTGACCACCAGGGGGCTGCTCCTGCATTGAGCGTCTGCCCCCTGGTGGTCAGTGCACATCATAGCGACCAGTTTTTCGGCAGTTTCGGTCAATTGCATATTAGCCTCTTATTATATAGGATTGTATTACATAATATCACATCATATATCATATTAAAATGTTAAACAGATTGAGATAAGGTACATGTTTCCTTTGACCCTCCCCCCCCCCCATCTCTCCTAATCCTAGGGCCCTATCTCTCCACATAGGTACCCTTGTTGATGGTCTTGGTAATTTGGTGCATTTTGTCCAAGCTTCTCTCTCTGTTCATTGTCACTCATGTACATGCACCCAGATAACATATCTGGCTTGATTTTCTTTATATAAAATACACTGTATGCACCTGTCCATACTTTTTTTTTCATTGAGATATCTCATTAAACATATTAAAACAATATTATAAATTTTAGATCCTGCTTCATGAAATTCCATCACAGATCACAGATTATTTAGTCATTCCCTTTTTAAAAAAATTCTTTATTGTTTAAAGTCTTACATATAGTATTACATATGTCTCCTTTCCCCCCATTGCCCTCTCCCCAGCCACCCCCAACACCCAACATAAGCCCTCATCCCCCTAGTGTCTGTGT